TGAAATAAACAAGTACACATGAACTTAATCAAGACGATCCACATACGAAATATAACCTACTGTATAATAGGATTTACCTGTTGCTGACACCTCGTCCCCGTCAAGACTGTCCATTCTACAAGTGTATGTTACTGTCCCATTCCCGACGACAGGGTCTTCTAGCGTCACCTGAGTCAAATCGCACATGCAACCTTGCTGGAAGAATGCCCCTCCTTTCGTCTGGTACTGTTGGAAGTGAAAATTGCATCAGACCTCTTTGCCCTCATGATGAAAATTGCATCAGACCTCTTTGCCCATCATCTGATCATCAGACCTCTTTGCCCTCATAATGCATACGGTACTTCGTTACATACAAAGGCCTCTGTTCAATGGCGTGGAGTTTGTTAGATGTATTTATACCTGTGTGTTTTTATTGTCCAGGATTTTAGTTTTCTTTCGTACTTATTTTGATGTGGCAAACTTTTCGTTTTATTCAAGAAAGAGGAAGAGAGAGAGAGAGAGAGAGAGAGAGAGAGAGGAGAGAGAGAGAGAGAGAGAGAGAGAGAGAGAGAGAGAGAGAGAGAGAGAGAGAGAGAGAGAGAGAGAGAGGAGAGCGAGAGAGACAGAGAGAGTATTGTATGTCCCTTCGGTGAAAATATATCTAAAAAGAAAATGCAAAATTCCTCAGCCGCAGAATTTGCACCACTCACCTTGCCAATCTCATACCAGGTGCCATTGAATAGCTTATTGGTGAAGGTGCCGTCAAGTTCTGGATTTAGGCACAATGTCCTGAGAGACGATGCCACCGCAGTCGCTGTCAGCTGTTGATTTATTTCAGTGATACATTTATATGTGTACTTCATACATGATAATATATTACATCGTGCACACTAGCACATAAACGGGCATGCAATAGCAAAACTATTTGTTTTTTTCATGTATTAGATACTAATTTGTTGCTTTGTGAATGTATGCATAAATGTATGCGGTACATTATGTGCGCACACACACACAAACATATATATACATATGTATATATATATATATATATATATATATATATATATATATATATATATATATATATGTATGTGTGTGTGTGTGTGTGTGTGTGTGTGTGTGTGTGTGTGTGTGTGTGTGTGTGTGTGTGTGTGTGTGTGTGTGTGTGTGTGTGTGTGTGTGTGTGTGTGCGTGTGTGTGTGTTGTGTGTGTGTGTGTGTGTGTGTGTGTGTGTGTGTGTGTGTGTGTGTGTGTGTGTGTGTGTGTGTGTGTGTGTGTGTGTGTGTGTGTGTGTACCACCACTGAAAGGAAGATCAGAGTCCTCATGGTTGAAGCTACGTTTTAGTGCTGATGCCAAGTTAACTGAGCAACCGGACCTGACGGCTCCTATTATATACGTAATCATGAGATGTAAACCCAAGCGTTTGGGAAAAAGAAAAGCTGTCACTATCCCTTTTTATCGTTACACATTTTAAAAGCATTAGCTTATCCACTTATCTCCAAACATGTCACAACAGATTGTCTGCCTGTGAATCACTAATAGCTCAGAGATAAAAAAAAAAAATAATTTACATGAAGAAATGAGTACTAGAAGTAAAATTATTCATATCTATAATATAATTGAATGTATTTAAGAACTTGTTATGCGGAAACTAATTGTACTCCCTTTATGATGCTATGAATTAGAAACAGTAATAATATATTATTAGTGAAATAATATCAATGACAACAATGATACAGAGATACTATTTCTGCTATTAATGGTATTATTTAACTATCACACTAGCACTTTTTTCCGTCAATTTCTGGGGTTCCGTCTGAATTTGAGGCTTTCCGCAAGGATCGTCTACAAACGGAACGCCTCCCAGACCAAGACGGTTACGACCGTTTCCGTCTGGCTAATTTCCGTGTTGATCTTGTGCTATTAATAAATAATGAATTAATGAATGTAAACATAATTTAATATGTTAGAACATTCGTATATACAATATACATCATCATGTTTCTTTATAATAACGTAAAATGTATGAGAATGTTCGTGTGATTCCCGGGACTTCATTCCGATAGGGCCATGTTAGTTTACATGATTTTCATTCGGTCACGCAAAAAAATGACGGATAAAGTGCTAGTGTGATAGGGCCTCTAGGTATTGATGATAATTATCATAACTTTTGTGTGTGTGTGTGTTTGTTGTTTGTGTGTTGTGTGTGTGTGTGTGTGTGTGTGTGTGTGTGTGTGTGTGTGGTGTGTGTGTGTGTGTGTGTGTGTGTGTGTGTGTGTGTGTGTGTGTGTGTGTGTGTGTGTGTGTGTGTGTGTGTGTGTTGCCTTACCACTGAAAGGAAGATCAGAGTCCTCATGGTTGAAGCTACGTGTTAGTGCTGATGCTAAGGTAACTGAGCAACCGGACCTGACGGCTCTTTTTATATATTAGAGTCACAATCATGTGATGTAACCCATTCGTTTGGGAAAAAGAAAAGCTGGAAGCGCACTTATCCACTTATCTCCAAACATCTCATAATAG